ATATATTTCTTGATTAATAGCTGGCGGTAATGTTTGTCCTAGTCACTGACCTAGTCATACTGACTCATACTGTTTGATATAATGACATATTAATATGGCTGTGCAGGCAGTGACTAGGACAAATGTTACCGCCAGCTATTAATCAAGAAATATATTTACATAATCAGATCATTAATGCTAGCAAACTGATTTCTTGGCCACCCATGGCCAAACACTACAAGACAAGTCACACACAGATACTTTGTGGAAACTGTATAACAACACCTTTACCCTGGGTTTAATAAATGAATATATTAGGCCAGTCTGTTTACCAAAATGAAATCCAGAGGGTTGAAATCTATTTCATGAATTCCAGGGGGGGTTATTTTATAGACATTGGAAATTCCAGGGGAGGTGCTCGAGAAAATTCAATTCCTCGACAGGGGTTTTGTTATAAATTTCCATACAAATTCCATGAGGAGGAATTCCCATCTACAGGTGGTTTCTGAAAATCCAGTGGGGATATTACCTGCAATCCTTCACAAAAATTATGAGACCACTGTGGTGAAAATATGATTTTCGCTCCCCTCCCCCCCAGAGAGCGGTGTTGCTCTCATTTGAGTTGAAATTGTGTAGCACAATGCTTGTAATAACTATCAACATTGTTTTGAAACGGGAGGGGGGGAATGACGAGCTCCTGGTGGTATGAATTTGCTGATTTTATAGATAAATATGCAAGTCTCAAGATATTTTGTGAAGGATTGTGGGTATTTCCAGGGGAGGGGTCTAATATATATCAGAATTTCCATGGGGGGGTCTAGAAAAGAAACAGGTTCCTGGACAGGGGGTGCAGATAAAAAATGCGATAGCCCAATGTATCATCGTGTTTTAAAGTTGAGCTTCAATGTTCTTGTTGTGCAAATTGACTAACGGTCCTGTGTTTCCTGCTAGTGTGCTATGAATTCCGCAAATTCAACGAATTTAGGAGAGGAATTATTAAGAAAGTATGTCAGTAAAGCACACATTTTGTTCAGAAAGACACACTTTGCTCAAATAAACCTCAAAGATGCTAGAAAAAAGCAATATTATGCTGAAAGGAAAGCTTCAAGAATTTATTTGTTGAATGAGGATCCAAGATAGCGAGGCTATTTGTCATAGCTACAGACACTACTTTCTCTCTTGTCCTACAATTACAAATATATAAAGTTTTAAATAACAATTAATTTACAAGCTTCAGTTTATCTTCAGTTTTCTTCAAAATATAATATAAAATAAGCATATTCATCACAGTCGGTCGAGCGAGAACAAGAAGAAAATAAGAAAATTACAAAACGACACATATCTCATGTAAAGATTATATAAAAGAAACATTGTTTGTTATGCACGGAATATCATCTTTAATACATACATATAAGCTTATTTTGCACTATATGGTCATAGTTCATAGTAAAAACTTTTAAAGTGCTACTGCAACGAAATTTTCGACCCCTTTTTTGCCATTAAAAATTATTCAGACTTTTAGAAGCAATTTGATGTATGTATCACTTTTGTCCGTTGAGTAGAAGTTGACTAAATTCACCTTCAAACATTGTGCATGTCGTGTGAACTTTTTTGGCTGCAATGTTTGCTTTGTGTGACGTTATAACAAGTACCGACTCTATAAGCCATAAAGCAATTTGTATAGCGCGAGGTAAGATCTGCATAGAAAACGTTATTTTTGAATCTTTAAATACACCCTTTACCTGGTATATATTCAAGAATGTCTAGTAATGAGTCCGAAAGAGCCAAGAGTTTGCCAGAAAATTTGAGTAAGTCAAAAAGCGGGTCTGATATTGACACAAGTTTCTCGGATCAATGGGTTATGTGGAATCACATAGTCTTCCCTATGATGATGAACCACTCGCATACCCAGATAAAATACCAATTTAGTTCCTGAAGATCCAGACGAATTACTTCCTGTGACGTTGGAAATGACTGGATGGCAGATGGTGAGTTGATATATATATTATAACATAAATCATTGCTTATATGGTGTACAAGGACTTTTTAGTCGTTCAAATGTAATGTGGAATATATGATAGACATAAATTGCATATTTATAATTAAATTGTATTTTTTTAACATTGTGCTGATCTAGCTACATAAATAAAATAAGGTAAATTTCAAATTTTATTTAGGTGCAGTTGCCAATGTTGCAAAATTAAATTGTTGGATGGTGCTATGGAATATAGATATTGCAAGGAGATGACACCAGCCTTGCATATCATGACATTTGATGGCAGCATTGAAAAAATTACATGCATCACCCAACATGAGGATTTTGGCCCAATGACCTATCAAACTGTTGTTGAGAATGTTGGACCACTGCTTAGAGATCAAAATGGTCGGTCATATGGTCATCGTGGATCAAAAAACCAGTAAATCAGTAAGTGAAATTTCCTGTTTATAATATAATTTACTGGGTTTTTTTTAAATCACCTACCCTATACTCAACAGTCATAATATGATATTTTTAGATATTTGAGAGCTGGCTAGGTGGCTTATTAAATGGTTGTGTGGTCTATTAGGGTGAAAAAACACTAGGCCTTTACCAGCATGTGTCTACTATTTCATCAGGAAAAAAAATCTAATGCCACACATCAAAGACTATACCCCAGCTGAAAAACGTATGTAGCAAAAAAATAAATAAAATAAATCCAAATAAATCTGTAATGAAATATCTTTATCAAAAAGGTTGCACAACAATACTATAAACCAATAAACATTATCAAAGTTTATGGTATTTGGCAGTTAGTGCACTTGCTTTTACTCAAAATCGAGTTGTTTAGTCACCAACAGTTAGGTTTCCATCATCATTTACCCTCAGAAGGAAAAAAATGTCAGCGAAAGAGCAACAAAATACTTCAATTAATCATTACTATTCTATGTGGTATGTCAAAAAAAGAACATTTGCAAATAGAAATACACTGTGTTTATATAGTTATTATGCAAAGCAGTATTGTTATCATAAATTGTTCGAGCGTGTTGTGCAAGCACTGAAACTTCTACAAATTGTGCGTAGGAGTGTAACTAAGTCATATAAAATTCATGGTTAGTCAATGGGTAGCATTCTTTTGGGTATAAATTTAACAAGCAGAAGAAAAAGGTGTCTAAAGTTATTATGCAAGCGATAACATAACGCCAAAATGGGCCGAAAACCTGACCTATCAGTAGAAGAAAAAGAGTGTGTTACTAGGGAATTGGCAAATGGAAAGTCTACATTACAGATAGCCAAAGTTCTGCAGCGTGATCACGGCACAGTCAAGAAGTATGTAGGGGCGAGTCACCATGGACGTAAGAAACGTAGAAAGCTGAATGGACACCAACTCCGGCAAATCCATCGCCAAGTTGTAAAGACACCATTAGCAACAAGCAGGCAGATATTGATTCCTGTGATATGCCCAAGATGTGCCGTGCTACACATTTCAAAGCGTTATGTGAGGTTGCTAGCGTTGTGAATGCCGTCAAGACTCCACCTCTCAACCAGAGACACAAAACAAAAATAATACAATGGGCCAAGCAATAAATTAATTGGGCCATTTCGTGTTGACAAGGGGGTAAAAATCGTTGCAACGACTTACAGTGTTTTTTTTACAAGTATTTTCGACCATGGTGGAAAAAGCAGCCACTAAGACTGCAGAAAACACTACTACTTATGCACGACAATGCACCTGCACATGCTGCCAGATATACGACTGCCTGGTTAAAGAAGATTGGCATTAAAGAGGACAATCTAATGATATGGCCTCCCTGCTCCCCTGATCTCAACCCAATTGAAAAATCTAATGATATGGCCTCCCTGAAAATTTGTGGTCGATGCTTAAGAAAGAAGTGTATGTTGCTGGGAAGCAGTACAATTTAATAGATGAGCTTTGGAATCCCATTACAATAGCTGCCAATAATGTTACCAAAGATTCGATTAAAGAACGAACGCGGTCATTGGCAACAGTACCTTGAAAGATATAAGGGTTGTTATATCATATTAATAGCTGAAAACAGCTGATAATAAATATCTCTACTTGTTGTTTACAATAATGCTCAAAATCTAAAAAATACCTAAATAAACTTTATGCATACCTAAAGGAATCCATTTCAGATCTTCTTATCTACACCCACAAGATGGAAAGAAGGGATCAGGGTGATCCTCTATCGTTTACTGTAACACTTGCAGAGTTGGTTGCACGTTTCAAAAATTTGCTTACGTACAGTGCAATATTTTTGGGTATATGACCCACAACATCAGCAGTTTCATTAACAGTATTCACATGAAATAAGCTGCTGATTTTTGTTGATTCCTGTGATGATTTAACAATTGCCTCAGTATCTGAATCTTTTTTGTTTTCTGGTTCCCGTTTTAACTCGTATTTTTTGTTTATATTTGGTTCCCATTCATTTGAAGGGGAAGAGATGATGAATTTGAACGAACTATGCTTGATACTTTCTAATGACTGCTCTGCCGACCAGTACCTTGATGCAGACGACTATGTCCCATTCTGCGATAATTTTATCAACATCGAAGATTCCAATTGGCAGGAAGAATTAAAAAGAGAGCTGTTGAACAAAACAAGCACAAGGAGAAATACGCAAAGCTAGATAATCTTGACAACAACGAAGACACTAATGGCCAACAAGAAGAGGATGATTTTGACGTCCCTTTGAAAGAACCCGACATTAAAACAACTGTCAAAGCTGTAAATGTTGCAGAAAATCTTTGAGATTTTGTGTCTTTCATGGGCAACGTAGAACTTTGCTGAGCTGTTATAAATGTTAATGACATTCTTACAGACATATGTTTAGTGCGACAAAAGCAAGCGCACATAAAAGATTTTTTCAAGCCATCTTAGTTGAACTATATACTCTCATGTTTGCAACGACAATGTATATATTAGATTGGTAATGTTTGTAATATAATCTAGGGGCCAAAGGTTTTACGGTCCGGTTTTTAGACTGTGCGATAATAGCTATGAATTTTATTAATATAGTCATCCTTAAAACATTATTAGAAAAATCATGTTTAAACAATTACGTATTCATTTAAATATTAACCAACTTTTCATAAGCGGACACCTTCTGTAAGCAGACACCAGGTCGTGGTCCCAAGGTTGTCCGCTTACGAGAGGTTCGACTGTAGTGGTTTGTGCACTCCAATATAGATGCCTGCGAACAGCTTTTAGCCAATCATTTATTATTTTGCATCCCTTTTCTTTACTTGCTTTCCTAAGTTGCTTGTTTATACTCTTATTCGCATGCCAGATGTCATTGAAATGTTTTGTTCTTATCCACTTTGCAATTCCTTTATGCTGGTCACTAATGAAAATATGCATCTGAAGACCAGAATCCTGTAGGAATTTAAATGATGTTTTTGCACCTTTCAATTCCATGGCATTGCTACTGCCAACCTCGTTTGCCTGCAAAGATGTTTTCGTAGACTTTTATGTGTATTCAAATGCTTAGAGGGTTAAAAAATAAGCGACATGCATATGGAATGAATGCCAGATAGCTTCCAATTATAAATTCCTGGAAAAATATATCCACTGCTAGAAACAATTTTATTGCAACCTCACAAATGGCATCTCCTAAAAAAATTATCCTAGTGTTTTAAAAACCAATCTCTGTAGTATTGTATACATAGAGTTTTAAAAATCAATCTCTGTAGTGTCGTAATAACCTGTTGCCTGGAACCTACAATATGTGACCTAGACTAGGATCTCAACAAATGAACTCTGTTTGCATATCTGCTGTTTGGCCACTGTATTTGGCATTGCAACCACCCAACAACACGGAAAGATGTGCCCTGTTGTTGAGTGGGGGCTTTGCTCAACAACAGGGCACATAGCAGTAGTGTGCTATCGAGCAGAGTACCTATAGCACAGCCATGGTTGAAGTGTTTCCTGGTAATTTACGTGGCATTATCACATGAAGTGCCCATAACTATTGCACTACCCTCAAACAAAAGCTATGTGACAAACTCTGGTAAACTGTCACAATCTGTGTGGTGTGACAATGTGTTCTCATAAACAAACTGTGCTGATATGCTACACTCGTTTTTCCTATATTTCAGCTGTATTAATATTTTACGCTGCATTTATTTTTAAACATGTGTCGTTCCTCCGTGACAGGTGGAGTCCGCAGCTTCAACCAATTTAACAAGACTTATTTATTCGTATAAAGGTGAAAACTAAAAACAATTACAAATACACGATTGACAACGAACTATAACTACAGATGCTAGCAATATAATACAATAATATACAGACAATAAAGGACAACTTACATCATACTCTAACTGTCAATGATTCCCCGATTCCCCAAAATTACTCCAAGTGTGTTCAATCAGTTCAAAATAAAGTCAGTATTTCTCAAGGTTCAGTATATCTCAGCATACGCGTGTCTTTCTAGCTACTTAGTCAAGCGCGGCTCATTTTATACAAAATATTAGCATATTTAAATTAAAAGTCCATTAACTAGTCCATGACACAACACTCCTCACCCAAGGACCTTAACAGTATTGCATCCTTGCATATCTTAATTATAGCTCATGTACTCATTAAAAAGACGGAGTTGCTTATCAACCTCAAGTAGCTCTTTTTTTCTCCGTCTTTCCATGTAATTACTGTGGCTTTTCTTACTTTACCATCTTGGCTTTTGATTGCTTCAGAGACTCTACCCAAGGGCCATTTGTTGCGATGCGTGTTATCTTTGATCATCACGATGTTGCCAACTTCTAGGTTACGTCGTTGTTGATTCCACTTTGCTCTTGACTGTAGGTTTTGTAAGTACTCCCTCTTCCATCGTGTCCAAAATTGGTCCGCTAAATATTGAACTCTTCTCCAATGGTGGCGGGAATACAGATCATGGGATGTGAATAAACCAGGTGGTGACGTCAGAGGTCTTGATTTCATAGTCAGCAACATATTTGGGGATAAAGGTTGTGGTTGCTCTGCGTCTGATGGTATAGTCGCAATTGGTCTGGAGTTCATTATGCCCACCACTGCCATAAGTGTAGTTAGTAATTCGTGTGTCAGTTGCCTTGGACCAAGATCGGCAAACATTCCGTCGAGAATTTGTCTAATTGTTAAAATTTGACGCTCCCAGACGCCACCAAAATGTGAAGAATGAGGCGGGTTGAAAATCCATTCACAGTTCTGTTGATTGACGTAGGATGCTATCATGTTCTGATCCATTTTGTTTAAGGACTCGACGAGTTCGGATTTTGCCCCAATAAAGTTTGTACCTCGGTCACATCGAAGGACGGATGGAGGTCCTCGTATGGAGAAGAAGCGTCGGAGGGCGCAGATAAAAGAGTTTGTTTCCATTGTTTCCAGAACTTCGATGTGGATTGCACGACAATTCAAACAAGTAAAAACTAGTCCCCATTTTTGAAGTTTACAGCACCTCCTCGTAATTTCTTGTTTTTATTTGTCCACGGTCCAAACATGTCAAATCCGACATTCGTAAAAGGTGGGGGTGTATTTAACTGATCAGCTGGTCGGTCAGCCATAAACTGCGTCATCAATTTCCGTCTAAGTTTCTTGCAAACTAAGCATTCGTTGATGATTTTCGAAATCGTCCTCTTTGCGCCAATGACCCACAGCCCGGCGTTTCTAATTGCACCATGAGTTATCTGTCTACGTTGATGATAAACCTTTTCGTGATAGTGTTTGATTACCAGTTTTGCTAAATGACTCTTTTTGGGGATGATTGCCAGATGTTTCTCTTCATACATCTGTTCTCCGTGTCTAAGTCGTCCACCAACGCGTAGGATTCCGTTACTGTCAATAAATGGATTTAGACGATATAAGCTGGATGTGGCAGGAATACTTGCTGGTGGTATCTGTTGAAGGTTTTTGAATTTTGTTGCATATTGTTCCATTTGAACAGTTTTGATTGTTATTTCTTCACTTTGTTTCAGTTCCGCGGCGGTTGGATGTTTTGTAAGATCTGTTGCGTTGAGGAGAAGAGCATTGGAACGTCGGCTAGATATTGAATCTCGGTTGTTGGTTTTGACACGCTTAATTCGGATGATCAAGTTTGCGATAGCCTTTCGTAGAGACGACAACTTGGAAAACCTTTTGAATCGTTCGGATCCTAGTCCTTGAGTTGTAGAAGGTTTAACTGTAAAACGAGTGACTTGAGTACAAACCTCTGGGTCGTTTGAGCTTACGTCGTACTCCATGGGATCGATTTCAGCTAAGGAAGGTTCAGAAAAACTACTGTTCCTCAGAAAATGTGGTCCAGTGAACCAAATCGAATCCAACAAGTCTTTGGCTGGTTTTCCCCTTGTGGCCATGTCCGCAGGGTTCTCTGATGACTTCACATAATGCCATTGCGAAGGATCTGACCCAGTCCGAATAACTTGAATCCTATTGGCGACATAAACATAGAAGCGTTTGCTTTCGTTCTGGAGGTATCCAAGGACTACTTTTGAATCAGTATGGAAGAATATCTCGTCTATCTTTATCTTCAGCTCATGAGTGATCCATTTAACTGCTTTGACTGCGAGGACGGCGGCACAAAGTTCAAGTCTTGGGATCGTTGTTGCTCGTTTTGGTGCCAATTTTGCCTGAGCAAATACCAATGAGACCTTGATTTCTCCAGATTGATTTGTCAACTTTAAGTAGACTGCGATGCCAATTGCGAGATCGCTGCCATCTGAAAAAGCGTGGATCTCTGCTTTCTTTATCTGAGACGTCTTCTCTTGGAGAAAACATCTTGGCACGTAAGTTTCTGCGAGTATCGCGAGTGATTCCTTCCAATTTTGCCATTTTCTTTGTAAGGAAATGGGAAGTGGATCATCCCAACCTAGGGACGGGTTTGCAATTATTGACGTGGTAAGGTGGCGCAATAATAACCTTCCAGTTAAGGTGACTGGAATAACAAGTCCAGGGGATGTAGATAGAATTAATTACTGCTAGGACACCACGCCGAGTGAAAGGCTTCTCGGGTAAAGAGATTCTGAAGGATATGGTATCCTTTTGTAGATTCCAGACTATACCTAAGGAAAGTTGCGATGGTAGAGGATCACGATAAAGATCAACGAACGACGGTTCGGTGAGTCGTAATGTGAATAGGTCCTCCTTGACGGTTGACACACATTCGACCACATACAATCCAGCCAACAGCCAACCTATGCGCCCACAGAGCTCCTTTCGGCCCATTGCGGACTTCCCTAACTTTCATTATCTCGGGTGCATCACGACCAATTAGTAGTTGGACTTCAGCTTCCGAATTTAATGGAGGTAATTTGTCTGCTACTTCACGAAGATGACCGTACCTTCTAACTTGTTCAGGTATTGGGATCTCGCATTTATCGGAGGGTATATTGTCGCATTCAACTAATGTTGGTAATTTCATTAAACTCCATCCGAGGATGTTATTGTTAGTCCAGAGATGCGACGGCCATAGTGGGTTTCTTTTGATGAACTACACAAGACAATACTTCTCTTTTGGTCCTTCCAGTCCGAGATCGTCGACGAGCTTTGGAGCAATCAAAGACGCGTTGCTTTGTTCGTCAATCAATGCGTAAACTTTTACTATATTTTGTGTCGTTGTTTTTGGATGAAAAACATCTAACAGAATGATCTTGCTGCATGAGACCCCTTCAATAGACGTTGGCGAAATGTCCATGCAGGCTGATTTTACTTCTTCTTTCTCCTTCTCCTTCATTATTTTCTTCTCCATGTGCAGTATCTTGAGGTGGCGATTACTGCCGCACTTCGTACAATTCACTTCTGTTTTGCAGTCTTCTGTTTTGCAGTCTCTTGCTAGATGTTTTTGTGTCAGGCATCAAAAACATAGTCCAGCTCTTTTCAACCAGTCTGTTTTTTCCTGAAGCGTTTTCTGTGCGAACATTTTGCACTCTAATAGATTATGACCATCGATATTGTGGAATATACAACGTTTCTTGTTTTTCGACTCTTGTGCTTGCCCCATATCTCCTTTTAAGACTTTATAGTGTTGTTTTCCTGCCATGTTCTTGTCTCTTGGTAAGCTATCCGCTAAGGCTGTAACGTTAGGGTGGTTACGCAATTGTGACTGGTTTTCTACTGTGTTCGCAAATACTTCGAACTGTGGGTAGGCGTTGTTATGGCACTTTGCAAATTCAACAACTTTTTTCTCCCAATTATGACGAATTCTCTCTGGTAGAACATTAAGGATTGGTCGCATTGCCGTCGGATAATTCAAACATCTAAGCCCGGGGAGTTGGTCGATTTGTGAAGCTACATCGAGACATAGATCCGAGAATGCCTGCAGCTTTTTCTTTTCTTGTTCTCCAAACTTTGCTGTGCCCTTCTCGTCGTTTCGTTTCCAGTTGGAAGTTATCTTTTTGCTGACTTCTTATCCAGGATTTAGTGCGTGACGTCACTGACACTTCGCTTTGTGCAACCATCTCTGTTTTCATCTTACGTCACTGATAGACTGTTCGATTGCCTCTAGTTTTGCTTCGGCGATAGTATAGTGTTGTGCTCGCGCACAAATACACGGTTGACAACGAACTATAACTACAGATGCAAGCAATACTAGAAATACATGCATGCAAAATCCCCTCGCCTGAAGTAATAAACATTTCCTTTAGTGAAATTCTATAATACTCGTTTCTGCTGAATGATCGAAGTTGTATAATCTACAAGTTAAACTTACGAAATACTTGCATGCTTTAAAATACAAAATCTACCTATTTACCTGTTCAAAAACACTCCAAGAATGTTTTAAAATCGTAGATTTTTCACTAACTATTTTAATCAAAGTTTTTCTATCGGAAAGCATCATTTACTTTACATTTTAATCAATTTTACAAGTGAATTTTTCCGTATATTTTCAAAGCCATCCAAATGAAAAATATTTTTAAACTAATAAAAGTTTTATAATTCAAAATATCAGTTATGCTGACGCGAACCAAAATTTTAATTTAGCGCCAATTGCACGCTTGCAAACGTTTGTTAGTTACCAGTTTTAACTCGTCTTGAACTCACGCATGCGCATAACTTACAAAAACGCCCAACGTCCATGACATAACGGCGGACAACTTTCATTTCGCATTTGCATTCCCAGGCGTAATTAAAATCTCTGGGCAGAATTAGTACCCTTGCACCGGCTCGAGGATAATACAATAATATACAGACAATAAAGGACAACTTACATCATACTCTAACTGTCAACGATTCCCCGATTCCCCCAAATTACTCCAAGTGTGTTCAATCAGTTCAAAATAAAGTCTGTATTTCTCAAGGTTCAGTATATCTCAGCGTACGCGTGTCTTTCTAGCTACTTAGTCAAGCGCGGCTCATTTTATACAAAATATTAGCATATTTAAATTAATAGTCCATTAACTAGTCCATGACACAACAACATGACATCAAAAGCATAACAGTGCCTTAAATCATTAAAAAAGAAGCCAGATTCCACAGCAACATCCACTAAACGACCAACCACTCCACTCGAACAAACAAGCAAAAAAACAGACAGCGTACATTACAATATCAAACACTTGTGTTACAAACAAAGAACACAAATATCAATGCTTTGTTGTATGCCAGCAAGAAAAGGCTATTACACGCCACAATAGCTTCATCAACAACTACCACCACAGACTCTAGCATTATTGAGACTGCCAATGCAGACCTTGAAGTTGTTCAATTCCCAGGGTACTGTAAATTTTTCAGAGATATGTAAGCAATATTGAGTCCTCAATGCACTGTTAAAAGTGCTGAAGAAAAGTCCTGCAGTCGACGGACAGCAAAGTCGTCCATTGTGACAGATGCGACCGTACCAAGAGAATTGGCAACTGTAAAACCCACCCTTCTTCAGGTGAGGAGCTTCAGTTGACAGTGTTTCAAGGCACTTTGTCAACGATCATCAAAAACATTGATAATTTAGGCCGTGATTAACTTTCTTTGTTGCTTTTTTACCTGGACAACTTAGAGATAACATATAATACAAACGCTTTTCTTGTAAGCAATATAATCATAAATGACAAACAATTAACTATCATGTTTTAATGTTTTTTTTTAGTGACCAAAATTTTCAAATAATTAAAAGTTGAGATTTATGCTTTCCAGCTCACTTAGTACATTTCAGCTAGGTGAACTATTAAACATTTTTCAGAGTATGATGACATGTTTGCAAACAGTAAAAGCTATTATCATTCCTGTTCTGATTCTGAGACAAACAGTTAAAATTTTAATCATTGTGTGCTTGATAAGAAAATTTTGGAATGTAAAGACTCCCACAAACACATTTTCAGCATCATGTTGCCAATTTTCCCCCTGAATAAAACTAGTTATTTTCTGACAAAATATCAATGTTTTCTCGACAAAGGGGTTAGACCTTTGTAATTAAATTTAACATAGTACTTAATGGTGTTGTAAGTTTTCACAAATGTATATGTTGCTTATTGAATAGGTAAATATAATTTCTAAAGGTTTAAGGGTATTAATTTTGAGTAGAATTATAACTTCAAGCCAGGAAGAGTTAATGGAAAAATTAGTCAACTATAGGTCCTCCAGCAGGAATCGAACCTACACTTTTGAGATGCCAGTGCAATGCTTTTGCCACTGAGCTACAGAGGTAGCTGACAAGAGCAAGTGTGCTTAATGTGTATATGATGGTAATGCTGGGAATGGGTGAGGGGAAATCAATTATAATTTTTGGCACAGGAATTGAACCTACGCTTTTGCGATGCCGGTGCTATGCTCTAGCCACTGAGGGTAAATCATAACCATCATATACACATTAACCACGCTTACTCTTGTCAGCTAACTCTGTAAGCTCAGTGACTCATTTTTCCATCAACTGTTCCTGGCTTGAATTTGAAGTGTGTATAATTCCACTCGAAATTAAGACCCTTTTACAATGTAGTCCATATTATTTACAAAACAAACCCTCAAATTCTCTTGAGAGGAATAATAGACACTTCAAATTTAAACCAGGAATAGTTGATGGGAAAATGAGTCAACTATAAGTCCTCTGGCAGTGGCAAGAGCATTGCACCGGCATCACAAAAGCGTAGGTTCAATTCCTACCGGAGGACTTATAGTTGACTCATTTTTCCATCAACCATTTCTGGCTTGAACATCTTTTTTCAACAATTTCTCATATTAAGGGATCTTGCTAAGAGTCATACAAATCTTTGAAATCAACTTCTGATGCACAAATGAACTGATTTTGCCAAAGCATGAAGGTCTGAACAAAATTCACTTGTTTTGTTTGACTTTGGCAATCTATCTCTTTCCTTAGGAAAACATGTATACATATTTTTTAATTTTGATGAATATATGCTTAGCTGGGACTGCAAGCAACACAGATTCTTCATCACCGCTTCTTCATACGCCATGCTAAGAATTGGTACTCTTTTCTACGTCACAAGCCACAACATGGTGGAGCAAAAGTTTGCACAGGAGTGGCAAAAATCACGATTTCGGAGGGGGATAAAAATCTTTTGGAAAAGCCAATTTGATTCAGTTTTCCGAAATGAAATAACAAAAGTGAGAACTTTAAATTGAACCAATAAAAAAGGGGTCGAAAATTTTGCTGCAGTAGCACTAAGTGGAACATAAAACTTAACATTATGGGCACTACTAAATGTAATATTTAAAGAATAAAGACATCTGCCAGACATTTCGTGTAGAGTTAAATCCACATCTCATATATACTTCAAATATGTCAGTATCGAGCACAAGACCTGCTCAAATAGGACGAAAGCCAGTGAACATTACCATCAAAATTCACAATCCAATACCAACAAAATTATCTCAGAAAACCCTGCCTCCGTAAAAAGCTCTCAAAAAAGAAAAGAATATATGAAGGAAAACATGGGAAAAAAAGGTGAACAACAAATTAAACACAAACTCTGAGAAAATTAAGGATGCTTGGCAAAGAGCAACTGCAACATACAGACAGTCAAATCCGGAGAAAATAAAATAAATTGCCAAGATTGCCACTGCAACATACAGGCAATCAAATCCTGAAAAAGTAAACAGAATTTAAAACATTCACTGCAACATAAAGACAAATTAAATGGAAATCGACCTGCTTCTCCCCACTTTCAAGTCGATGAAAAAAGAATATGAGAATGGAGAGCGAAGAAGAATGAGATTAAGGGTGTCCTTGCTACAAGAGGTAACAAAGGCAAGCAAAGGAGCCCATTATGTGGTGCTGG